TGGAATGGTAGCTGTTAATGCCACAGCTGTGGACTACAGTCATCTGCGCATGAATGATAGGATATTTTTGTTCTTCTTGTTTTGTTCTTCATCTTCATCATCTTTGCCTTCATCTTTGTTGACTTCTTCTTAGACTTCTTTTTTCTCATCTTCTCCGATCAAAGTCGGTAAGAAAGGGGAGGAGGGAGATTGTTGCATAACATTGCTAATCTTAAAAGTTTATTTTCTTTTTAATACCACTTTCTTATTTTAAATTTTACTTGTTAAAAATCATTATACATAGTGGCTTTAATGATTAGTTTTATAAAAGCAAACCTCAGTTGTTCTGTTTAAAGGCATCATTAAATTCTTATTCTCTCTGAACAACTGGTAGAACTGTTTTTTACTCCTGCCATTTACAATATTCACATTTTGCTAACTCATTAATGTTCATTCAGTGTTATTAATTATTTTTTTTAATATTTAACTAATAAGTAAACTAATAAAACTAATAATACATTCCTTGGCCGGGAATTGAACCCAGGACCCTAGCATCACAACTTGACCGAGTTCAGGAATTCAGTGCAGCTATGTTAATATGTTATATTTAAAATAATAAATTAATATTGTTAATGACATTCAGAAAACTTATTTTTATTTTCTGCTACCAAAATGTCCCTTATTTTCGTGATTCCATATTAGTATTACATATTAAGTGGATTTAACGAAGAAGGACAAAAGATTAAATGAAGCTAATGTTTTCATAACATCTAGCTCACCACAGTTGCCACCTATTGAGCTTTTTTAGACAGTCAAAATTCTTTGGGCAGTATAACATGGTGTGGTAAAGTAATTTTTCCGCAGTAATGCGTTTTGGTGCAAAGTTTCTGAGCAACAAGTGCTTCTGTACATTAGCTTTGTATTCTTGTTAATAGGAGGCCAAGTGACTGCTGTTCAGCACTGATGGTACCTTTTTAAGTGTAGAATCCATGACCCACTTTTCTCCTGTATCTGAGGGCTGAATATGGAACAGATTCAATAAAATGTTATGGATTTAAGTTTACACAGCTCTGTGTAATCTTGTAAGAAAGGACAAAGAGTCAAATGAAGAAACATAAACAGCCTTTTAACAAGGTTAAGAAAGACATTGATCCACATTACTTTCTTCAGCTAGTGTGCTGATCTCATCTTGTCTGATGTGTTTGCAGAGATTGATGGGTATCCAGGAATCTCTCTTGGTTTCCTTTCTCCTGCTCAAAATGTAGGTGTTTATGCAACCAGGATGAAACTGTTCCTATACTGAAAATTCACATTGTCTCAAAAGTCACACTACTTTTTCTTCATTTGATAATATTATCTTCAGTACTACTGTCTTTTTTTT